CCGGCGCGGGAGAGGCGGGTGAGGGCCTGGCGGATCTTCTTGGCGCGCTGGGGCCCGCCCAGCGACGCCACCTCCTCCGCCGCGCATATGACGTGGTAGGCGAGGCCTGCGGGCGCCGTTGTGCGGGGGCGTTGCGGGCACGTGTGTGCAGCGCCCGTTCTCAGCGACGCTCGTTTGCCGGTTTGAGGCGCGATCAGAGCCGTCGCCGCTTGACGCGCTCAACAAAGACCAGGCGCAAACCGCACCATCAGGCTGCTGCGCAACGTCGGGCGCGTCTCAGGCCCTCGGACTCCCCGAACCAACAGCAGTCAGTCATAGCAGCCCCTGCCAAACAGGAAGCAAGGACAACACGCCCCAAAACTTGGATCCCCGCACGCCCACCCGTTGGGTAGACGTAAAACTGAGGCACCGCCGCCCCGTTGGGCAGGCCCCCGAGGTTGGGGGGCGCCTCCACCAGCGCGCGCCCGCAGCGCGCGCAGGGCTGCCGCGCGGCGACGGTGGCGGTGCGGCTGCCCAGCAGCTTCAGGTCGGTGCGCACCGCCTCTGCAGATCACGGGGAGTGCGTTTTGCGGCAGGCCGGAATGCAGATGTTTTGTGTGGAATTGTTGTGTAGTGGGAGCGAACATTGATTAAAACGGAGTTCGTGTGAGTGTGTTGTGCGTGTGTGTGTGTGTGGGGGGGGTGTGCACGTGCATGCGCGCGTTATAGTGGGATGTGATGGGATTGTGTATTGAAGCGTGTCGGATGCTGATTTAGAAGCTTTGTGCACATAGGTGCAAGCATCAATCTGCGCAGAGCGCATCTTATTGAGGGGCAAGGGCGGGGCCAGGCGCGTGCGCGCCCACTGGCGTGCAAACCCACGTGCACGCATAACAACAAACCCCACAAACATGCGTGCAGACAAACAAAAAGCAGTGACCCCTAAATCAAACGTATCGTGTGCACAATTCATTTGGGCCTGTCATATAGACACAGGCATGTTCAGGGCGCGGCGCGGCGCGCCGCACCCGCAATCTGTGTTGCCTCGTCCATTTCGTGCTTCAGGGCGTCGATCTGGGCGCTGTACCGCTGCAGGCTGTCCACGATGGCTGCCTGATGGGAGGGAATGGAGGGTCACATGTGACATCACAAGGGGGGCGAGAGAGGGTGGGTGGATGTGTGTGTGTGTGTGTGTGTGTGTGTGTATGTGTGTGTGCGCGTGCGTACGTGCGTGGGCGCGCGTACGTGCGTGCGTGCGTGCGTGCTTGCTTGCGTGCTTGCTTGCGTGCGTGCGTGCGTGTGTGTGTGTGTGGGGGGGGGGGGAGGGGGGGCGGAGGCTTTGAGGCCGGCTGTGCGGGCCGTCCACAGGCCCTGCCTTGATGCCGGGGCCTGCGACAAGTCCCCCAGGCGCCGCCCCCCGCGCGCCGCTCCGACGCAGGTTGCGGCTCCCCCACGGCTGGGCTGATCAGGTGCGGCGGCGGCCGCTGCGTGGCGCGGCGCTGCTCGGCGGCGCGTCGGCCCCGAGGTCCCCGCGGCCCCGCGAGAAACCGCCGGTGCAAGAGCCCTGGCTGCAAAATATTCTGGGTGCGTATCACCCCCACCTTGAATGCATCGATGGTTACGAAGTCTGGGAAGAGCGGGAGCACGTCCTCAATGCGCAGGAGGCCGCCTGGGGGCGGCACGTCGTTGGGGGCCCGCCGGTCGGAGGTGGAAAGTCGACAAGGCAGGGACAGGGGCCAACGGTGGCCCGAGCCGAGGCGACCGCACTCGCCTTGTGGGAATAGGACGGGTAAGGGGCTGCGGCAGGCGCGCCGGCGCTGTCGCGCCTGCCCCGCTGTTCAAGGCCCGCACGTGGCGCAGACGATGCCACGAGCGAGCAAGGCGAGGCGCATGCCGGGTTGCGGCTGTAATCATTACGCGTTGTATGAAGAGACACATGAATGATTGCCCACCAGCTTCTCTCAACAGGCCCATAACAGCTGCTATGTGTTCAGCCTGGTCCCCTGGGAATTCGGGTGGGTGGGGGGCGGAGGAATAAGGAGGCGGTCGGGTGGGAGTTGGGAGTGAGGAAAGACAGGGCATCCCTTATGTATGCGGGAGGAGGATGATTTGGCAGAAAAGTGTGTGATGAGGAGTGCATGGTGGCGCTGATAAAGGGGCGTTCGGGATGCGTCCGAGGGGGGCAGCTGCGAGGCAGCTGCGGCGGGGACGGGGTGGGCGACGGGAGGAGCAAAAGGCGGGGCTGGACCGCGCGTGGTAGGTTGGGGCAGGCAGGGAAGAGGCGTGCCGGGGTCGACGGCGTGCAAGTGTGCATGTATGCGCGTGTGTGTACGTGTCTGATTTTGTGCGTGTGTTCGGGGGAAGGGTGCTGACGGGGACGGTCACCCTCACCCTCTCCGCCGCCATCCTGGACCACCCGCCGCGCGATGTCCAGCCACAGCTTGCGCCTGCAGGTTCAGGGTTGGGCCGCGCGGGTGGCTCAAAGTAGCAAGGGACGCGACGGCGCGGGGCGGCGGCGGGCGGCGCCCGCCGTGGCCACCCAAATACAGCACGAGTGGCACAGGCAGCTGCCGCGCCGGCACCCGGCGCGCTGCTTCGGCCTCCCCCCTTTGGTCCGCCAACCCCAAAGACAACCCAAGACCCGCGCGATCAGCGCTTCCCGAGGGCAAAACAGCATTCCTTTCAAAACCCACAGGCAGCGTCGTCAGCGTCCTGCACCCCTAGTGGTTTGCTGTTGCACGGAGCTGCGCCGATTACGTGCCCCCCAATCGGAAGTGCCCGACTGCCATGGCCGCACCTGAGCTGCTCGTCGTCCTCTGCTGGCCCGTTCTCGGCCACGGCCTTGGCCAGATCCAGATCAACCTTTGAGGGGTGGTTGTGTGCCATGTGTTGCGTGTGTGTGTGTGTATGTTTGTGTGTGCGGATGTGTGCGTGCGGATATGTGTGGTAGGGGGGCTAGGGAATCCAGAGGACGTGTGCGGGCAGGCCGGTGGGCGGGGAAAAGGAGTGCAATGATAAGATGGGGCACAGGTGCAGCCGACACCAGCACGCGCGCCCCCCGCCCCACCTC